TACATGTATCATGCTCGGACTCTGATCTGTCCACCTAGGCTAAATGGTCAATATATATACACTGTATAATGGCCAAAAACCTAGGCCAATATATATATACACTGTATAGTGTTTATAAAAGAGACACTATGTCATAACAATATTATACTAGTTTGAATAGACTATATATAGCTGTTGATAATCCATGTTATTTGCCATACATTGTACCTGTTGCAATCGTGCACTAAACTTTGAGTTGACCATAACTGTACCTAGAAATTATCTCTAGATGGAGGAACATTAAAGCGTCATAGCTTCCTTTTGTTGTTTCTCATCATTTAGGCCTGTGGGCCATTCTGAACAACGCGGGGACGTCCACCTATGGTCTGGTGGAGTGGTGTCCGATGGAGACATACAAACGTGTGGCTGAGGTCAACCTGTGGGGCACCGTCAGGGTCACCAAAATCTTCCTGCCACTTGTACGGAAAGCGAAAGGTTGGTTGGTTATAATTGGGCCAGCTATTTTCTTCTTGCAGAATTATGAGGAGCTAATACACTAACTCAGGAGACCTCAATACGACCCGAGGTGCGGCCATACACACTTAGGACTGTAAGGTTTGAACCACTCACACCGGGAAGGTCCCCTAGTCTTTTCAATAAGTGTACTGGGTTCTTTAACAATAACATGCGTGGGGTGTGGCTCTCCGAAACACGGGATCTCGATTTAACGTCCTATCCAGATGATGTCCCTAACCGAAGCTAGCCGGTACTCATTTTCACCTGAGTAAAGTAAGGAAAGTCGTGTAGAGTGTCTTTCCCAAGGGCACAAGATAGGTGACCTAGTGCAGAATTTGAACCAGGGACCTCTAGGTTTGAACACTTTGCTGTTACGCCACACAACCCCAGGTACAACCTTTCTACTGCAATGATGTGGTCTTCTTCTTCTTCTTATAAGTACTGGACAAAATCCTCTCTGGGGCATAATGTCCAGGTCTACTGTAGGTTCGTTAGCAACATCCATGTACATTTTTCTCTTGTGGTCTTGAAGAATGATCGATTAACACGGGAAAATTTACAGATAATGTTTCTGATATTCAGGAAGAGTGATCAACGTTGCCAGCGGGCTGGGCCGCAGCTGTGCCCCATCCCGCTCGGCGTACGGCATCACCAAGTACGGCGTGGAGAGCTTCTCGGGACTCCTGCGGTACGAGATGAAACGGTGGGGCGTGGACGTCAGTATCATCGAGCCCGGAAACTTCATCAGTGCCACTAACATCTTCAACAAGGAGGGCATAGAGAGGACGGCCAAGGTGACTTTTTTATGTTTACCTTCTTCTCAGAGACATAAGGTCAATAACCTCTTCCAGATGTCTGTCACCATGGTAACTGATGCTGTAGTAGACACCTTGTGGTGTTGGCAGCTGAGGGGATGGTCACCGTATGTATCAATGTGGTTGAGTAAGAATAAACAAAGCAGTAGTTTGATATGCTATATTATGTGAAGGTAAATGTCATACATTTTGTTTACCTGTCTCTAAAGACTTACTGTGTAGCTGTACAAGTATAGTTTAAGCCAAGTAATGTGCAAATTTATTATGTGACATATTGTATTATGTAATTACTAATTGTACTGTATACTGTTTGTGATCGTTTGCAAGCACGTTCAGCCAGCTATGAGTATGACCAAAGTGACCTGGGCCTTATGTCACTTTTTTATTTTCGAATTAAGAATGATTTTACTACAAGTATGTTTTTTTCCTTCTCAACTCATGGTACAATGAATCCTATCATTCACAATAACTGAAAACATTTTGTTCACAGGAACTTTGGGACGGGATGACAGAGGAAGTGAGGGAAGACTACGGTAAGAAAGCCCTGGATGACTACAAGCTTCTCATGCACCAGTACGCTACTGAAGGTAGCCGGGACACATCACCCGTGGTGGACGCCATGGTGGCAGCCGTGGTCGCTGTCACCCCCAAAGTGCGCTACAATCCCATGCAGTTCTACTGGCACGTCAGGACCTTCATCATGACCCATCTACCAGAGTGGATTGCTGACAACATCTACATCTACTGAGGGGTCTTTAAGGCTGCATTATGTAGCATTACGACGATACAAAAAATAAATTTTCTGGTCATTTCTTTAGTAAGGCCACACCATTTGATTTGTTTGATTGAAGCGACAGGGAAAAAAAAATAAAAACAGGCCTAAGCATCCTATGATAGCCCTAAAAGCTACAATAGGAGCTACATGTATTAAGTCAACATACCAGGCCAATTTACAATTCCAACATTGAATTTTAAACTTTTTGTCAACCACACAATGCAGTGAAAGGTGGAAAAACTGTAACAACTAGGAAGACAAGGTGCTTTCTTCGACCATTAAGGCCAAAATACGAGCATTTTGGAGTTGATTCAGAACCTGAATCTTTTTTTGCAAACCAGGAAACAATGCAGCAGGCGAATCCGAAAACCAACTACTAGTAATCAAATTGGTGTGAATAAGTTGAATCAACGCTGCTTCATTGCAAATGCGTGCCATTCAGGAAGTGGGGATGCCAAAAGATGATGCCTTACATGTACATGTGTTTAAAAGCTGGAAATGCAGCTGTAAGCTATCATATTTACATTACTCTGGTATTTTGTGGTGGTGCCACAAAATGAGTGCACTTCATGTGGGCTGTTTTAATGAAACCATAAATGTTGGAAATGGCATAAATATGTTGAAATGTGAAAATTAATTACAATCACATGAAGATATTTTAAATTATTTCAACTTGCACAAATGTTACATATTAAAACCATGCAATATTATTCATATCCATTTAGAATGAGGCAGTGTATAAATGGTCAAATCTCTCTTCTTTTTATAGATATATTCTTCCTACACTACCAATACCTCCACTAAACAAAAGACAAGTGAAATCTGTATTGGGATGGTTTGCAACTTTATTTTACATTAGCACACATGGGTCTCAAAGAAAACACACCACTGAAAGGCAGCAGACAGAAAGGTGGAATCTACTTGATTCAGACCACACCATAGATTTTCTACTGATACATAAATTGCTTCCAGATAACTTTGAGATTTAGGACATGGAGTTGTGTAATCTGTTAAACTCTTGGTTGATAACTGAGGCTGCTGTCTCTATTCCTCTGCATCTTCATAGCCGTCGGGGAGGGCGTTGACATGTGGGTTGTGGAAGGCAGAATGCTGACCATCTCCCCATGGGAATGCCTGAAACACCGACAGCAAACCTTAAGTACGAAACAAAAAAATGATACACAACTGCACTGAATACAATATAAACACAGAAAAAAGGGGCCTTCCACAGATTTATGCAGGGTGTGTAAAAATGCTGAATGCTGATCAACATTTTATGGTTGTCCAAAAAAGTAACGTTCAGATGTTGCCTCATTTTTATACGTGAGTACAACTGGATTGGAAGTAACTTTAGCAAGGGATGCTCTACAGTATTTTGTCCGTAGTTCACATTTACCTATCCAAAACTTTATCTGTTGGACTATGGCACATCTCTCCACTGAAAAAAAGGCCCTGTATCAGTCTGTGATAATAAAAACTGACCCTACACCCCCCCCCCCCAAAAAAAAACATTTGAGGCTTTACTATGTTGAATCAAACGTACAATAATACACAATCATGTAGGTACCCTACATTCATAATCTACCCATCATCAAAGAATCAAACTGTAATGTACAATAATAATTGCAAATCTTCACTGAAAGAAAAGGCTAAACTGCTCATATCAGTGACAGGTACATTTCAAGGTTGCTTGTAGACAGCAAAAATCCATGCATCAACAATTTGGTCAGATGCCAAAACCATTTCAAATACATCATACTCTCAGCACCCAGCAAGCTTACAAAATGCGGTAAAGCTGCCCGCTGCAAATGAATGACATGTGATACCAGTATTAAGAATTAAAATGCATGTAAGCTTGTCAAGCAAAGCATAAAGACTGCAAAGCAGTGCCAGTGAAGGCTCTAGCCAATGTACAGACCCTCCCAACATCAACCACTGGAAAGGAAAGGACAGTGACCTCGATCTAGTTTTAGCTCACTGAAGAGCTACTCTCTCACTGGGCGTAACAAAGAAGACAGACTCTTATGTACAGAATTTACAAGTTCATTGTACCAGGGAACTTCCCCTTAAGCTCTTTTTGACAAGCACACTGAACAGCGAACCACGGCTTTGTGTCCCGTCATAAGGACTGCAACCCCTTCCAGTAGCGTGCATGTGGGGTGAGCGACAACAACCGGGATTCGAACTCCCAACCTCTTAGTCCTGAGTCAAGGTCGCTATATATAGCTAACCCCTGGACTACGCACGCCACTGGACAATATTTGTTGACAAAAAAACAAACAAACAAAATCACAATGGCTAGAGCCTTCCAAGTTCAATTTTTTAAGTCCAGCGCCAAAAGCGTAAGGAGCTCCGCAAAGAGAACCACATGTGCAGCTTCCCGTACAGAGGGTTAACTGACAGCAGATACTCAGTGCTCGTCCTCATAGCCGACGTCCGGCAGTGCATTGTTGTGAGGGTTGTGGAACAGTGATTTCACACCGTCGCCCCACGGAAACGGCTGGGAAAGAAAACAACACAACAACATTCTATACTTAAACTGTACGTCAATAGTCATTATATAATATTGTTATATCTGTGCTATAGACAAAGTAATTGCAAAGTGTTATTATCATTAATAAGATATTATTCAGCTTGTAAAAGATTTTTGCAGGGTTCGAAATATATTGTAATTTTTATTTCTGCATATCTGCATTGGTGCAGGTAACACTGAAAATTACCTGCACTAGACAAATTTTACCTGCACTACTCAGAATTCAGGAAGTATGGAATATACTAAAAACTGTTGATTTCTTTTACCCTTCATACATGTAGATGGTGGCAGTCAAAACAGCTAAAAGAACAATTGCAAATCAAAAATGAAAAGGCAAGGTGATGAAATGAAATGGCAAAAAACTAGATGTTCTGTGGAAAAAAATTGTGTCAAAGTTTGTTGCACTGCAATCTAAAATGAACAGAAGGAAGGAAATTCATCATAAGTAACCAGATGAGTTAGCAGGAACATTTCGTGTTTTTTGTTACCTTGCTTCTGATTCGCAGGTGGTTGTATGGGAGGAACTCTGGCCGAGGATGCTCGTGATGTTCCTTTTCCTTCAGGTAGGCGTTCAGCATACAGATAACCAGGGCTGGCAGGGCCACCAACACAGACATCTTCTTCCACAGGTCCATGCCACCTGCAGGGAAATACAGTACATCAAATTAATATTTTACTCTCAGGGCTGGAAATACAACCTGCACACCTTATGTCTGCCTGCACTGGTATTAGGTATTGGGTTTATATATGTAGGTGCATGTGGATTGTCATTAGCTGTAATTAACTGTTACAACCTACATGTATGTATTATTGGCTGTTATCATGAAAGTTCATCTGTGTTGGTAGTAATCATAGTAAAAGGTTGAACTTTATTCCAACACACAATATGTACAGGGATCAAATTTTCAGCGACCACTGTCGCCTTCATCAGGATAATTAATGACCAATCACTTCACAACGTGATATCGCGAGAATTACGGTTTACAAACACGTGACCTTATTCACACAAGATTTTACTGATACGTGACGTAAGTAATTGATCAAAAGTGCCAGGGAGTTTAAATCGTCCACCATCTCTATTAAGTGAAGGCTGAAGTGCTCTGATATATACGGCCTCCTTAATGCCCCTATTATTGGCTGTGTAAAAGAAATAATGGCAATGATTTCTGATCTATGAACAGATTTATACATGTATATTGATGTTACACTTCAGCGAGGCCAATGACATGACAAGTCTCACTGGGTCAGTCTATTGAAGAACACCAGAGTGACTGGTCAAGTGCTCTACTAAGTTGGGAACAATTAGTTCTCTTGTTTTGGAACTTAGAACATAAGTTTAAACTCTTAACACTAACAGTTTTTACAGTATCGTTGTACGAATATGATACTTCCAAAAACTATTCTGCATGGTACAGGTAAAACTTTCAAACCGTCTACAACAAAAAAGGAGAAGCACTGAACCAAAGTGGTGTCATTATGGTTAAGTACTTAAGGATCATTTAATGAAGAGGGACAGAGATGAACAAAAAGATATTATTATAATTTTGTTCCAAGTTCTAACAGGCAGGAAGTGGCTCGTCACAAATTATTGATTTCGGGTGAACATGACACATTGAAATGCCCCTACTTTATCCAACGGCACGTTTTTTGTGCTGTTCTTCAAAACAAACAACTTTATTTGTTAGTGTTACTGACAAACGCAGTCACATACGCCACTTCTTTTATACCATATACAAGATGGCGGCACGCGTAACATAACCTAACAAGGTCAAATTTTGGGTCAATATAAGTACGCGTACAGCAAAGTACACAACCCAAACCACACCGTAAAAGATGCACGAGTACCTGAGTGCTCTCCTCCGGCAGGCGCAGCCCCAGAAGCCGGCCTGGCGGGGGTAACCTGCAGGCGGGAACGGACAGCCGTCCGGAGTACGTTTGTCAGCATCGTCGCCATCTTGTCCTTCTTGTCCGTGTGGGATGACGGGAAGTCACGTGATCACCCAAGATGGCGGCGCCCATGTAAAAGAAATTCGGAAATCTCACAAATATCGGTTTTCCCGTAAGTCCTTGGCCTGTATATGATCCTTCATCATGTGAACTAATGGCGTATTAACCGTTTGTCACAGTCTAGGCCGTTGCTATATTTTGTTGAGCATGTCAATCTCGTAATTCGTAAAAGCTACTAACACTGTGTTGCCTTTGACGCCCCTCCCCATATGTGGACCTCCTCTTTACTATTGTAAGGCACAAAAGCACTTGCAACTGGAAAATCGACCACTGAGTTCTTCATGATGTAGCAGTGAAACACAGCGTATAATATTCCTACAGCACACCATACTTCAATAAAGGACATTATATATATATATATATATATATATATATATATATATATATATATATATAGTTATTACTTATTACCTCCGGGGAAGGAGACATCCTTCCGCGAGGAGGTTTTACTATTGTTCGAAACATTTCTGTCAGCAGCTGTTTCTCGCGATCGGCTGGACGGATTGGTCTGTTGTTCGGTGTACGTATTGCTATTGGGCTGCAGATGCATGATGCAGAACGTTTTTGTTTAATTGTATATGTGTTTATGGGCGTCGAAATAAAAGGTTTTTAAGTGCTCCGGACACCCCCGCCATGCTGAAAATGGAATTTACCATGTTGTTAAGGAATGGGGAGGTTTCAGTTTTGGGTCTTACCATTTAAAAGGGGTCAAACAGAGGGGTGTATGCTTCCGATATGTATTTTGAAATATTATCGCAGTTGTATCTCGCGTTGGGGTAGACTGGACTCGGTGTATGTTCTTCGAATGGGCTGTAGATGGTGCAGGTTTTTTTGTTTTTATTGTATATGTGTTTTGGGGCGTAAAAATCTGAATGGTCGCGCGCGGCGCTGGGCTGGCTGCCAGCGCAACTTCCGGGTGGGCCAATGGGTCAGGGATCAACGCCCTCTTGCGCAATCTTGGATGTTTTCGGCGTATAGTACGACTTCTTAACTTACAAATACCGTGGTATACTGTCTCAGACGTTCTCGACATGCATTTTTACCGTGGGTACATGGTATGGGCTGCAGATGAAAATGTTGACCAGTCCTGTATTAACACAACCAGGAACGCTAAATCTAACACATAAAATTCAACACCATCAACTATACAGAACAAACAACATGGAAAAATATACAATAAAAAGCCCGGAGGTATAAAATCTCAGATTTTACTTGTTAGTAATGTCCTTGCTACAATGTTGTGGTTTTCCTTGTTTAAAAAAATGTAGTCTCTTGAAGCTTGGTGCTTGCTTACGCTTGGTTCAGTTCAGGAATATGTATCTCAGGGTATCTAACTCTTGGTGCCTTAAAAGGTATTACTAATGGTCATACTTAAAATGTATTACTAATAGACATTACAATGTATTGCTGATGTTGGTCTCGACAAGAACATTAGGACGAGCCTAAAGTCACATATTCTTTATTCTGTAACGTTACAGGTATAATCTTGGTGTACCAACTTCCTTGGGTGTACTTACTAGTTCATCAAGCCTATTTGTCAAAACTACTAGTATGAGATGACAAAGAGAGGACGGTCATGGAGAGACAGGAGGAGGAAAGCCAAGCAGAAAGAAGAGGGTGTTCTACCGGGTATGACACCAGAAATTTATTTTTAACGTTATATTTAACATTAACATAAAGCATACATATAAAATACAACACGGGGTATTCCGTATCGGCCCGACCGCGGGTCGGATCGCCCGCAGGCCGGAGGGCGATCCGACTCGCGGGAGGGCCGGGACCGAGGGCGATGCGGAATACACCGTGTGGTATTTTATTTATATCATACCCACCCAAGAAAACGCGCCTTTCAATGCAATATGAGCCAAAAGTTGGTGCCCCTAAACCCTCAAATGCAACAACGTCAGTTCCAACGTCCGGATTCTGTATTCGAATTTTCGAAAGGGGCACAAGCGGTTAGGGCGAAACGCGTTCGAATCGTTTTATGGAAGCCATGGAAGCATTCGATAATGGATTCCGGACCAGGTACGGCACGGCCCGGTCCGGAACCCGTTATCGAACGTTATCGCGGCCCGGGTATGATATAAACTGTATTACATATGTATGTATCTCTCTCTATATATAGAGAGAGCGAGAGTGAGAGAGTTGGTTTATGTGTTATAATTACACAGTTACTGTGTTTTTTTGTTCTTTTTATGAAGCACGCTCATTGGATACATGCTCATGTCCAAGGATGGAGTGGAGCTCGAGAGTGTTGATGTACATGTACACTGGTTTTTAGAGCCAACACAGCACATGGAATTCATAACAATAACTCTGATCCTGATTTTTCTGTGATAGCCTCACTGATGTCCAGAGATGACAACGTTGAACTGATGAGATGGCTGAGGAAGAATGGCTTTCAGGAGACTCACCTTGTTCTCACAGACTTCCCTGGTAAGGACTTTAAAAAAGATAATTGACATTTTACTAATTGTTTATGTCCTGTCGTATGTTATGGCTGAAATAGAAATGTAAGTCAACTAAATATAACAGTCAAAAGAAGTGCTCCAGCCAGCCTAAATTTTTTTCTGTGATTTCAATTTTGTTTGATGTACCTTGTACCTTGGTCCCTTAACCCAGGCCAGGGTCGTGGGGGCACTGCATGGTGGAGTGTCTGACCATCTGCCGCCATCCCTCTCGGCTGTGAGCTAGGGTTTGGGTTTCCGAAGGGTTTTTTCCTGTCCATTCTTGGATGTTGTCGGCCCATTTTTTCTTCTGCCTTCCCCTTTTTCTTGCTCCTTTTACTGTTCCTTTTGATGTATCATCATGTTAAGTACTGAAGGTGCAACGATCCTAGGGGGGCCCAGGGGAAATTTTTGAAATCTTGCTGCCTAGAACACCGGTCTGGTCAAAAAAGTTAATCTTTCCTAAAGGCAGTGGAAGTAAGTGATACAACACAACCAACATGTAATGCATTTAGATTCTCAATGACATAACTATCATAACTTTTATAGTCACCTTCTTAGCCTACTGTAAATTCATTGATTTTCACGGGGAGTTAATTCCATGGTAGAATGAACACTTTCCACACATAGGCAAACCTGTCGGGTCCGCCTTAACACCACAACCAACATCTGTATCTGTGTAACTCTCAAGTTAATATAATACATCCAAGTGTAGTCACAAATGTATTATGTTTTTATCAAAACAATGACAGTCCTTAAATACAGCACTGGGCATTTTTGTCGAAAATAGTAAAATTGAGTGTTTAAATGCTGATACTGAATGGGAAAAAAAAGATATTATGATAATATAAAACAAAGAAAGCTTTAATTCTAACATTTCCTCATAAGTTACCGGTATGCAAATGCGGTCCTGATTGGATAAGTTTGTTGATATTCATGTTAACTTGACTTGGATTAATAGATATAAACCATGCAAATCAGAGCCTCATTTACATAATTTAATAGGAGATGCTACAATTCTTTGCTTTGCCAACGGCCAGGACATGTTGAGGGACTACTAGTAGGTATTTAGATAGCTGTAGGCATGTCACAGATCTAGAATAGAGCTACTGCTGAATCTCAATTCGCATTTTGCAGTGTTCAACCAAGTTCTAAAGTGGTGATACCGTAGACCATGCTGCATTTGACTCCTTTGTCCCCTTTGGTAAACATTCGTGCCGTCTGGTATACCGTCTCTAAACCAAATTCCTTTGCAAGCTCCATGGCACTTTCGTTTGTCTCAGGAACGTCAATATAATAAGGAACTCCCGGTGGTACAGTGGCTACCAGGGCGGCAAACAGCTGCGAACCAACCGCAGCAGATTTGGCAAAGATAGGGCCAATTCTACGGGAAAAGTTGACATCCTTGTAGCTTTCGACGCTCAGACGAACGCACCCGTAGCCGGCAATCCTGGTCTCCTGGCTGTGCTCGTCGTCTTCACCAGCGGGAGTGGTTGTTACAGCGGCCAGGGCGACCATACCAGGCTGCGAGATCTAACTCTTCAGAAAACTTGGTCGCGGCGTACCAAACACTGACGCATCAAACACACAGAGATGCTCGAAGTTTACCTGTTTGACAGAAACAAGAGCCGCTGGATGGTTGTCTTCCTTGACACCTTTGATGTTGTTGCTGCCAACCCCTCGAAATCGGGTGTTTTTCCATGCAAACTTGACTCCAATAATCCTATTGTAAGCATCTTGCATATGCATCACACTGTCTAATCCGATGTTTGCGCCAGACATGCCTGATGCTTCAATCACTGCCTTGATCATTCTCCGTGCATATCCCTTACCGCGGAATGGGGGCTTGATGATAACATGGTCTAAAAAGGCAAAGTTTTCCCCATATTTAACCACCGAGGCTCCTCCTATTGGCACACCGTCTTTTTCAGCCAAGTAGAAACCTGTGGGATCCTGGTGGTAGAAGCTCTCTGTATCATACAGGCCTGGGTGCCATCCTTCGGCAGCTGCCCACTCCAGCACTAGGAGAGAAACTTCCATCGGGGACGTTGCTTGGCGGACACGGAAAGTGTCAGGACTGCCGTCGGTCTCTGATTCTGTGGTTCTCGAATCTTGAAACATGTTGTAGGAATAGATGTTCTTCGTCCCTGAAATATAATTTTACATGAAATCAGAAGATAATAGAACGTTAAGTAGAAAGTATGTTACCCTTGTCGGTCATATCAATGTAAGCCTCCTGCACACTTTTATCATCATTATCACTGCACACTTTGGGCAACAAAGACCACACCACTTTTCAATTGAACATGCATATATTGACATGTTATCATCTTTAACTAACATCCTGCCATTTGACATAAACAACGTCACCGACAACACCTTATGTTCAACCATTCTCAGGGGTAACCCCTCATTGTCGTTTGTCAACAACTGTAAAGTATTTGATGTAGTTTTCAACTTTATTTTGCAGACAGTACATTTTGTTTGATTTAGTTGATTGATTTTGATTTGTACACCAGGTCATTATGTACCTTTGTCCTTTCTTCTTCTTATTATTATTATTACTTTGTTTTATTGTTTCCTTTTATGTGTGAGGAGAGGGCTGACATAAGTTTCATAACTTTTTGCCGATCCTCAAAAAATAAATGTGAATAAAATAAAATAAATAAAATGCAAATATGTAACCATTGTAATGTTACATGCACGTTTGTATGTCAAAATAAGCCACTTTGGTTAGACCCAATCGAAGCTTAAAGGAGTCCAATGTCTGACATGGTTTTAAAAATTAGCTGTTATCAACTAGAGTTCCATGACCTCACGCCTTCGCAATGATTTGACTGTCGACGAATTATGAATGTTTCACATTGATTATGTAAATAATATCCTCGCTTGTATTTCAGTTGATCATATTCTTCACCCAACAACAATTTCATCTTAAACACAGAGGGCTATTCTAGCATTTCCTCAGAATTATGCAAATAAGGTCCTGATTTGAATAATAATGTTTAATGATGATCACCATTACTTAAGTGTGAAATTCCTGGTACTGTTGAGTGTGAAATTCCTCAGGCAGTCATCACTATAGAATTTTAGCATTTCTCATGATTTATGCAAATTAGGTCTACATCACGAGATATCAAATCTGAGAGTTGTCTGCCTACACCATCTGGGGCCAGACACAGGTCAACTATTGACCTACCTTTTCACAGGTCTACAATGATGCACTGATTTAAAAATCAGTGCATCATTGAAGATGCCAGGGACAGATTCATGTTGTATTATTACTATTAATGTAATATTTCCAGAATATCGTCGTTTAGTTCTATAAAAGAGGTTTCAAGGATGTATATACTCACCCAAAACTGGTCAGTGGTAATCGTATTGTCTGTCTGTACTGGTAACCTCAGCAACAGGTACACAATATGGCCGCCAGCAATTACATGTAATAGACAGGCGTTTACTGGTTAATCAAGTCTTGCAAACACACTATCAGTTAAGGTGTCCTCCCTGGCTAATTTGGCATTTTAAGTTTCCATTGTTTTCTCACAAAGAAATTTATAAAGACTTGTAGAATAACTATATTTTAATTAGGCAATTAGGTCATTCTCTAATAACTATGGATAAATAGTAGATATCAATTTGTGCAAACATACGTTTGTAGTTTTGACCAATGATTATTATTATTATGCACATGAAAATCATACTTTTATTTCAGTTACTTGTACCAAAGTGCTATATTATAACTTTAAAGATAATTACATTTGGGGCAATAAAATGTGATGACGTCATCCATATGGTCCATAAAATCATATTCATAACCCTTTTGTATCAATTTTCAGTACGACTACAGGTCTTTCTAAATTTTTTTGTGAGAAAATGATGGAAACTTAAAATGCCAAATTAGCCAGGGAGGACAATGTTACAGCCATAATGGACTGATTTAGTATTTACCATAATGCCATAATTACATGACTAAAATAAGTATTTACAAATTCAAATTTACCTGGCAAATTCCAGTGTAACCATCCAATATGGTGGATAAGGATCTCCCCAACAAAAGTTTGTCCATTCGCTTATTTTTACATAATATTAGGCATGTGGTCTGGGGGGGGGGTCCAAGAGACATGGTCCAATTTTTTTTTTAAATGTAACCCCCCGAAATGCTATTTGATCCATTAGGCAGGGCGAATTTCACGTGGCTTTATCTTAAATTTTGTGTAAATTTTGATCGCACAGTAGTTGACGGATGCTGGACACAGCCATGAAGGAATAGTTATACTGTCACATAAATGCAAATAAGCTAATATATGCTGTGCTGTACAAAGAAAGCAACTCACAGAGATGTTCCAAGTTATGACATTGTTATGTGTGCATTTCAGACACAGGGAGAGGAGTCATGGCTACCAGGAATCTAAAGGTAACATTACTTGCATGTTTTCATACGTTTGTCCTAGTGATAAGAGGGTATTATGATGTATTCATCCTAAGGCCACACCAATTTAATTTCTTGGTTAACGGATTCGCCCGCTTCATTTTTTTCTGATTTGCAAAAAAAAAATTCAGAATCAACTGCAAAATGCTCATATTTTGCCCTGAACAGTTGAAAACAGTCCTTTTCCTCCTAGTTGTTATAGTTATTCCATCTTTCAATGCAGTGGTATCATTAAAACTTCAAAATTCATTGTTTAAATTTTGAACCAGCCTGGTGTGTTGACTTCATGGCTCATACATGTACCATTGGGCCATAATAGGATGCCTAGGCCTGTTTTTATTTTTTTGCCCGCCCGCTCCATTATTTTTCTAGAAAAATCCGTTAACCAAGAAATTAAAATGGTGTGGCCTGATCAATAAATTTCAAATAAATCATGATACTTCAACATTTTACTTATCACAAAGATGCATTTTCTCTCAGGCAGGAGACTGTATTGTGAGTCTACCAGAAAACTTGCTCATCACAACTGCAACAGTGGTTAACAGCCATCTCGGCCAATTTATCAAAAAGTAAGGCTCTTAGTCTTTCCCACTCATTTATTATACATGTAAATAATGATGATGATGTAAATAATGCAAATGTTGGCTGAATAAAAGACTTGTTTGTGAAAAAAGAGTGTCTTTACTCTTTTATATTAATTTTATACCATTACCTGATAAAACTACATGTATTCACGAGTGTGAACAGTCATAAATATTCATGACAATGCAGTGACTTACCAGTGAGCAAGAAGAAATATGGGGGCCTGCAAGCTCTTTTCCTTAGAGCGTAATTGGCTGTTTTAATTTTACGTAGAGCGTAGACGGGCTGCTCTAATTCAACGTAGAGCATAATTGGCGCATTTTGTGTACATTTGTAGAGCGTATTCGCCTTAAAGTTTTTAATTCTACGTAATGCGTTGAAGCCACTTGGAAGTTATCGTAAAGCGTAATTGAGAAGTTTCCGAATTCAGCGTAGAGCGTTGTTGGGACCCCCCCCCCTTGCAGGCCCCCAAATATGGAGAGTGTAATGGAATTTTTTTCCCAAAACATTGGCATGATTGATATTGAGTGTGTGTTTTTGTTTTCTTTTGTTAGCTGGAAACCACCTCTCACCCCAAAGCAGGTCCTCAGTCTGTACCTGATTGCTGAGAAATCCCGTGGGAAGGACTCCTTCTGGTACCCATACCTCCAGACTTTACCTACATCCTACACAACTCCCTCCTACTTCTCCACTGCTGAAGTAGACGCCCTTCCTCCTGCTGTGCGGGAGGCCACCTTGCAGCACAGGAGAGTACTGCAGGGCTCTTACAAATCCTTGAAAGCATCCCTGCACACCCTGGAGCCCCTGTTTCCCGATTGGAAGGCTGTTTTTACATTCAAGTCCTATCGGTGGGCATGGGCAACAGTGTACACCAGATCTGTGTACAAGAGAGGCCCAGGTTGGGAGTTTTTGGACCCCAGTGACCCTGATGTGTATGCCTTGGCCCCATTCTTAGACATGTTGAATCATTCTCCTTCTGTACAGGTAAGAGAAGCGAAAGAATATATAATTCTTTTTACTTTGTATATTGACAGTGGACAAATGTCTTTGATCTTCATCAATTTGTGTGCATTTTTGTGCACTCAAAAAGACTTCAGGGTAAATTTTCCAGTCATTTTTTAATCAACCTTATCCCATGACATAAAAAAGTGATGTCACTATATCTTTAGAGATTAGCTTGTTTTGGGGCTACAAATGTATTTCAAACACTTTAAGTTTGAAAGAATGAACCAGTTTTACAGTAAATGTCAACATCAGACAGATGTCCTCATCCAGAGTACTAGTAGTACTTTTTATTTTGCCCTTAAATTGCATTTGATGCCTTCAAAGAGATGTTTGTACATTCTTCTGACTAGAATGTATCTCCAACATTTGCAGACAGACACTGACTTCAACGTGAACAGCAAATGTTATGAGGTGAAGACAGAGACTGCCTGTAGAAAGTACAGCCAGGTGTTCATCAACTATGACCCCTATGACAATGTCAGACTACTGATGGAGTATGGCTTTGTGATCCCTCACAATCCTCACAGTGTTGTAACTTTTACTGTAGGTAAGTCACACATCAGAATCATGGATTATGAATATGTCACATTCTAGAAAACTAAACGGAACATACACAAAGATGTTGCGAGTGGTTTTCAATACACCGTGGTGGAAACATACTACTAATGAACAGTTATATGGTTCGTTACCAAATGTAACTACAGTAGTCAAATGTCGACGACTAAGCTTGGCCGGTCATGTTGTACGTAGTGAAGAACCAGCCAGTAGGCTTCTACTCTGGAATCCTGACACAAAAAGAAGAGTTGGACGGCCAAACGTAACACTTAAGAAACTTATAGAAACTGAAACTTATCTCTGCGATGAAGGACAGAAAGTTCTGGAGGTCTAACTTTGTATGCTCCACCTCTTCGGAGGATGATTGATGATGATGATGATGATCATGAAGTCACACATTTAATCCAATGTTCTTGCCAGCCTGAATTTTTTTTTCTGTCATCTCAGTTTTGTTTAAGATACACATGTGTAAAACATCAATGTCAGTGAAGTGCAGCAATCCTAGGGGGGTCCAGGGACATGCTCCCCCAGGAAATTTTTGACCTTCTGAAATGCTATTTCCTGCATTTCTTGGCAAATTTTGTTGGTAGGCAGCTTAGCTTAATGACATCTCTTTCTATATCCACTGATTTTTACCACTCAAAGATGACAGGTTAGGTAATATTTTTGTCTGACTGAGCAGTAAAATTCTGTGAAATGGAGGAAAGACTGATGCTGGCTAGAACACTGCATTTATCATTAAAATCTGCTAATCATGTCTACCTTGTATTGTTTCTTCATATTCTCCATTCAAATAAAATAACTGTCTCTTCTTCTCCTCCATTGAAATAATCGACCACTATGGCTGACACCTTGTGGTGTTGCATTACATTATGTTGCAAAGTGGCAGGAGGTAAAAGAAATGTAGAAGGGCTGGTCCCCATATACATGTACATGAATGTGTTTGTAGTAAATTAAACATAGTAGTAGTTTGTTAGGCTAAATCATGTGAAGGTAAATGTTATGCACTTGCTCAATTGAGTTTGTTCTTCCCATTCAGATGACCTTGTGGCTTGCTTGGCTGCTGATAGGAATGATATGAGTACTAGTAAGAATCTGCTACAGAAGAAGAGGGAACTGCTGTCACAGGAAAACCTCACTGAGTAAGATTTTAAAACCCTTGTCCTACTGTGAGAACAACAATTGCTGTCCTGCACGTACAGTACCATCTATAATACATGTAGCACCCGCATATAGGTACGATTTGGGGGTATTTCTCATGCAACGCATCACAGTGAAACACAACAAATGCAGAAGTAACTATGCCACTGCAGAGCAAAAAAACTTGGGGGTCTATGATCTAATTAAGACATGAAATTATTGAAAAATATTGTGCCAGGAATGCCAGCAGGACAAGGGTTAAATCTCTGAAAAGCCGTATTAGTTTTTGTGAACAAATTTGAATCATTTCAAAAGGTGTTGATTTTATTGTGTGTTGTTTGGCTACAGTGTTAATTCTATCTCTTTGTGTAATCAGAGATCTCAGCTGTAGTGCAGAAGGCCTATCTTGGAGACTGCAAACTGCACTGCAGGTGCTCTGTATGGACCATGACAGCATGTAAGTTTTGAAGATTTGCCACATGTAATGCCACGGATACCAGCCGGCCAGGTTTGGCTGATGTTTGGGAGTACCCTGACCAGGCCTGCCTTTCCTTACAAATCAAAACAAATTTGAGTTAACATTGAGTCAATTTTAGCACCAAACACTGCTAACTTACAGCCAAATACCAAGCAACCATTTTATAAACTGTTTTTTATTTTATCTGGCAGCTATACAAGGGACAGCTAGGGCTGCCCAGCTAGTTACAAAACTATTTTAAAGGGCTAGCCCTGGAGACAAGGATAACAAGCTACATAAGATGAGTACAGGACATTAAAATCAAAATCATGAACTCATTAGATCTATAGGATTTACTATACATAAATGCATAACGACTTAAGCTAAGGTGCACTAAAAGAGTAGTATTTACATTGGAAGGTCAGGGTCAGAATTCACAGTTAATGGGTCTCCAAGTGTTGTTAACTTGAAAGTTAAAACTTTTGTTCCAACCCAAAAAAATTGTTCTCACCTAGATCTTTCAACCAGTCACTCTGGTCTTCTTCAATACACTGACCCAGTGAGGCTTGTCACGTGGCTTCTCTGAAGTGTGACGTCATCACTGGTTCAAAGGTATCTGGTAAACATGTCAGCCCCCGTCACAGTTGAGTGATGGGTGATGGGCCCTGACCAGAGTTACTGTTCTAAAGCTCTACGTGAGAACAATTTCTAGTGTTGAAGCAAAAGTTTTAACTTTAAACATATAACCACTAACGCAGATGAACTTTCATGACATGTAACTGTTGTGTTGTTGGGCAGTTGTAACTGGTGGATTGTACTAGGACAGACATCTCAGAACCCAGACCTCTGGTCAGCAGCCAGGCTTGTTGCACAGAGACTGATCAGTAAAAAACTGGAGCAGCACTGCTCTATAACACAGGTTAGTGCAACAATTTTCAAGTACATACAAATGTATACATGTCAGGACTCGACATACTGGGTGTATATGCACATTAGAGGGAGTGAAATTGGAGCTGTACAGGTATTTCTGATGTCTACCTGCACCTAACCTGCACTGGTCCATGTACTGGGTATATGCAGGTTAGTGCAGGTAAAATTGGAGCTGTTCAGGTATTTCTGATGTCTACCTGCACCTAACCTGCACTGGTCCATGTACTGGGTATATGCAGGTTAGTGCAGGTAAAATTGGAGCTATGCACGTATTTCTGATGTCTACCTGCATTTAACCTGCCCTGGTCCATGTACTGGGTATATGCAGGTTAGTGCAGGTAAAATTGGAGCTATGCACGTATTTCTGATGTCTACCTGCATTTAACCTGCACTGGGTTTATATTACGTTTTTTATTTATATACTTCCTTGATTCTAATTTGTGCACATATAATTTGTCTGGTCCAGATATTTTTCAGCGTTGCAGGTATGGAAAAAAATATATTTTGAGCACTGCATGTATCTAAATAGCTTTTAAAGTTGGTTGCAAAAGTGTTGCATTGTCCTTTCTTCGGAGGACGTAGAGTCAAAGGACTATTGTCTGAGAGAGCTTATACTTACGACGTCAAACCTGAGCACATAAAAGAACCGAACACACTTATGAAGAGTAGGGGTGACCCAATGTGCTTAGCTAAATATATAAGCCATAGCTAAGCTGCATTGCACTAACAGCTACTCGGAAAAGCATCATGAGGATGACAAAAGAAGTAGACTGAAGAAGACAGAGAAGGCCTTGTTGAAACTACAGTGCCCAGAATGGTAGATCTTGAATGAATGAATGAATGAATGAATGAATGAATGAATGAATGAGACTTTATTTCCGTGTCGTGTGCTGAAAGTTCTCCTCTCATCAGAAATGTTGACCATTTTCCTTCTTTTTACTGCTTGCAGATTGCAGAGAAAGTCTTGGACCCAGGAAGCTCACTAATAGGTGTATTTATTCTAATGTTACTTAGAGAGGATCTCCATATACTGGAGCATAGCTTGAAGGACTTAAAATCACAAACAGATGATTCCATTGACAAATGATCTGTTTTTCACTCGATAATCTCTTAAAAAGTCAAGGAACCACTATTGTTTGTTATGAACAGGATACTGAGGATCAAAGATTGACAAAACACTTGTTTCTTCTTTTGTGTTTATTTGTTTGTTTCACTGCACGCATCCCATTACAAACACATTCTGAGAGCGCACAAAAGACGCCCTGACTTACTAACACAGTTACTCCAACTGCACACATCCAAGTAACAGTCTAGAAAGAGGTATAACATGACAAGTGTTTAGATAGAATTTACACGATTGTATAAATGTTACTTAAATCTGTATATACGTCTGTGCTTTGTTCTTAAAGATATTAGATGTACCTATCATTAAAATTATATGTAATTACAGAAACAAAATACGTCTTCTTAGTTTTATTACCTTTGCCAAGATGTTTTCAGGGGCGTTCGTGTGTGTGTCTATTTGTCTGTGTGTGTGTGTGTGTGTGTGTGTGTGTGTCTGTAAACACGATAACTTGAGAAGGCTTCAATGAGTTGATATTGAGTTTATATTTGGTCAATGACTCGATATTTGGTAGGTGGGTTGGTCTTGATGAGACCTGGAAATGATTAGATTTTGGGACCCTAGCGGCTTCTATGGTACTGCAGCAAAACTTCCGGTTTTGATGTTTATGATCTAGAAAGACGAAATTTCGCTGATAGGTAGCTCTTGTGCTGGTGAATACATGTAAGAGAGGTACGTTTGGGCCCCCTAGCGGCTTGCTTTGGAACTGCATGGGCGTTTGTTTGATAACATTCAAAAGAGGATTACTCAAGAACCGGTTGACGGATCGTCATGATTTTTAGCATGTAGTTAGCTTAAGTGATGCCTGACACAATCATGTGCAGTTATGCAAATATGGATGTAATTTGCATTTATGAGGAAATTCTATAAATCAGTTGCGTTACATGATAGGAATATTCAAGCTTGTGGCATATGTAATTGATGACGACGAGAGAAACACAGGCAGATATTGATTACGTAAATTAAGACTTAATTTGCATAATTAATGAGAAAATGTTGTAATTCAGCTATGGTAACTGCCTGGAATTTCATAATTAAGGTGTTTGAAAGTTAAGTGAAGGTGAACGTCATTAAACATAACTTATTCAAATAAGGACCTCATTTGCATAATTCATGAAATGATAGAATGGCTTTCTTGAGATAAGGCTATGAAAAAGAAGACTTAATTTGCACAATTAATGAAAATGTTATAATAGTGGTTTATGTTGGTACTCTAAAACTTGCGGCATTTATGTGTTTATTAAAGTTGAATAAGTTGAAACATAATGTGGAGCTCATTTGCATTTGTAGTATGCCGGAAACCGTGACATTCAATGACATTTGAATGTGAACTACATTTTTACAACAGCTAGCTAGTTCTGTGCGCAGGCCACTCGAACGACTATATAAACGCGAGGAGACCTCAACAAGTACAATACCCTGGATGCCAAACTAGTATCGGGCCGTTAGCCGTTTTCCTTCGGCAGCCGAGAGCCCTTCGCCCGCCTGCCTAAATTAGCGCTACGGAGGAGTTGAGCCCGATGGGAGTTGGCTGGCCAGCCAAACTCCCCCCGGGCTAGACTCCCCCGTAGCGGTAATTTACACCAGCGGGCGAAGGGCTTTTGCGGCCCGGACAGCGAGTTTGGATTCCAGGGTACAAGTACAAGTAAGTAAGTAGCCACATACCCAAAACTAGAGTTCCACGATCTCATATACCTTCGCCAAATGATGTTAACTTTTATGATTAAGAAATTATATATTAGTCCCCCTAATTATGCAAATAGGATCCTCAATTGCATGAATTATATCTGTTGATCATATTCTCCACCAAAAGACAGTCTTATCTTAACAAAGAATGCCATGATGACATTTTCTCATAAATTATGCAAATGAGGTCCTTATTTGAATAAGTTATGTTTAATTATGTTCACCTTAACTTAACTTTCAAACACCCCAAGTATAAAATTCCAGGCAGTTACCACTATGCAATTATAATATTTTTTCATTAATTATGCAAATTAAGTCTTCATTTGCATAATCGATATCTGCCTGTGTTTCTCTCATTCTTAATAACATTTGTCACAAGCTTGAACTTCCTATTATGGAATACAGCTGATAAATAGAATTTCCTCATTGATTATGCAAATTACATCCATATTTGCATAATTGTAATATCATTATGTCAAGCATCACTCAAGCTACCTACATATCAAAAATCACGATCATCCATCAATCGGTTCTTGAGTTATCCCCCTTTAAACATTTGTCCATTAAACCCCCCTGCAGTTCTAGAGCAAGCAACTAGGGGGCTCAAACTCATGTCACTTTATCCCCAGCACAAGAGCTATCTACCATCTAAATTTCGTCACCCTAGCATGTCTGGATCATGAAATATCAAAACCGGAAGTTCTGCTGCAGTACCATGACAAGCCGCCAGGTGGCCCAAAATCTAATCATTTTGAGGTCTCATCAAGACCTACCCACCTACCAAGTATCAAGACAATCCATCAAGACCTTCTCAAGTTATCGTGTTGACAGACAGACACACACACACACACACACACACACACACACACACACACACACACATACACGAACGCCCCTGAAAACATAACCTTCTTGGCGAAGGTAATGAAAACCAAAAATCCACCCACAAAAAATCGAGTAACTGTTATAACGTTGACCAACATACGGTCCCACATCACAGCTGCCCCACCATGGCCAAACTGAATGCCTACCCTTCTGACGACAATGACTATATCTGAACACTTCTCCAGTTATCTGAACATATATGTTTGTCTCACTGATACATTTAGATTGACTTATCCTGATGTAAGTTTATAACAGACAAAGCCCCTGCAATAGAGAGAGTTACTTGTCAGCGTTTCAGACATGTAGGATTGATGATTTTGTGGATAACTGGGTGTGATCAGATTTAGTATAGCAGATGCGATTATTGTGGCCTGATTTTCATAGACACAGACTTCAGAGAGTCTCCCCTCCAGGTTACACAGCCGTAGTCAATACAGGTGCGCACGTAGGGACCGTTGAGGTAGGCCTGATTGCAGCCATTAAACCACCAGCCGCACTGTCCGAGATACTGAGAACAGTGGAGGCCGGTGTGGGGATCGTTGTCCCTGTCCAGAGTGGAGAACCTCTGCCCGTTGTGGTAATCCAGAGCGTCTCCAGCGTTGCCTGAATACCCGGAAATGTGCAGCCGGTACTGGTCCGACTCACCGGACACCCTGGATGGGAACAGCAAATCACACAATATTAGTCAGGAACAACAATCTGCATTAATTCTGATTCTGTACTTTTTGTAAAACAAAGTGGTTCAGAGGTCTCGTATATACCTCCATGAAGTATTTGGAGCGTTTGTAAATTTTCTTGTCATCTTGTCTACGGCTACGGTTACGGTCTTCTATAGCTGACGGAGATGGATTTTCCCTCCGTCGCCGGCGGCACCCAGCGGAAACCCTCGCCGATTTTACAGATGATACTTCTTTACTGGAAGACTGTATAACATTGGTACAAAACGTACTCACCAAAGCGGAAACCTCATGCCAAAAAATTGGATTGTACCTTAATGCATCCAAGACAAAGTACATGCACTTAAACCCATCAACTGATGGTAATCTTTTGGCCTCCGATGGTACTACAATTGAGCGAGTTGCCGATTTCAAGTACCTATATACTAGTATTTAGGAGGTTACACTGATAGTAGTCATGACATGGATGTTAGGTTCGCCCATGCGTGGAGCGCCTACATTCACTACATAAAGTATGGAAATCGTCCGTTAGAAAACAAAGACAAAAGTATTTCAGGCATGTATTGAAGCTATTCTCTTATACGGATATGATTTCTGTATAGGTACTTAGCTTATTTCCCTGAGTTTCTTTCGCGCCAGGGGACAAAATTTTCTTTTAGTTTTTATTTGTTTCACTTCATCCTGCGTGTTTGATATGTTGAAATCCCTTCAACTAAACGGTATGAGAAATCCAGCTCCAGGATGTTACTGACATTGGACAGTCAGCATGGTATCTTATTTCTATGTACATTGTAACTCTTGTACTAGAAAAGCCTCTAATCATGCAAATGACGGCTTTTACCCAGGCCATGCATAGTGATGTTCATCTTTAACTAAAGTAGGCATTACTTGCCTCAGCAGTTTTTAGGATAGACCTTTTCCTGTGTATTTTATGTATTTCCAAGTGACATGTGATATCTGCTACGAATAGTCACTAGAAGGAGGACTACCAACCTAAAGGTGTCGTATTCCGCGTAGTACGTCCGCATATCCCAATACATCATGTCAACCCGCATTCGGTAGGTCTTATGGGAAGTCAGGCGGTGGATGTTCTCGTTCCCAAGCCAGTATTCCCCGTTCTTGTTCCCAAACCCATGCTTGTACTCCTCCCAGTTCTTGTTAAAGGGAACCGACCCGTCCATTCGTCGCTGTATCACAGTCCAGCCTCCTTCTGTGGGAAAACAATCATCATTTCTTTTGAAAGAGTTCTACCTGGTAACACTAACAGTATGAATGTGTTAGCTTTGCTGAGGAGATTGATTGGAACAGACCGACCCTGTGAGTGATTTCTCATAAAAATAGTGATTTGGCCAACAACACAGTTGACTTTTGCATCCCCAACTTATAGTTTTAGTGTTGGATTTGGCAGTTCATGCACACTATATTACGAATCCTATCTACCTGCAGTATCCATGTCACAGTAGACCTCTACACCGGACAGGGGTGAGCCAAGTATGTAGACTCCACTGGTGATGTGCCCGGCGGCTTTATATGCAGAACAGTCTGCCTCTGGGAAACGGTAGCAGGGACAGAGTCACGATATACGTCAGACAATAGTAGCATGTTTTAACTCAGCATAACTCTGGTAGTTTATGACAAAACTATTTTTAAAAAAGGCCGTAAATGTGGGAACACAAAGTAGTATATATTTAATCTATTTGATCTTCAGACAGCTAAGTGGCCCATTCAATTTTGTAAAATTAATTTTTACTGGGGCCCAGACTACAGTACAGAAACAATTGTACTGCATCAAAATGTTTGTGTGATGCAATTAAGGTAATGTGACCGGTAACGCTCGTATATATGACTGTCATCTGTCTATGAAAAGCTGGGATGTGTCATATTTTGTAGCCATTTTGGTGGAAACATCATAACTGTGTCGCTGTAAGACCCGCGCGTGTAGCATTAAAACCGTGAGAAACTCGGACCCTAAAACTCACCTGCAGGAGGAGCAGTCGTGGCTGCTGGGGTTGTGATCTGAGGCGGTCCTGACAGACATCCGAGGTCTGTTGGTTTGATAAACATTCATTTATTCTTCAAGGCTTTTTAGAAACTTTTATCTACAAATAAGAATACTTCCAACCAAACACTTGATTTATCTATAAGAGTATTTCCAGTCAAACACCTGACAGGCCGGCACACCAAATTCATTTACCTGAACGTTTTCCAAGAATGAGTACAGTGTTGGACTCTGAGTTCCTCTTGGATCTGCGGTGCATCTCCGCACTTTTCCAAAAGGTGGCGCTGTCATCACGTCTCCAGTCTTGAGTTGAGCTAGCTGGGCCCTATAAGACAATTACCTTCCCGTTATAGTAAACGAATACAGTCGCAAGTTTCGCCACGGGCTATACTGTAGTATGATAAAACACAACCACACAAAGCTAGTTTACTCATAAACTTCATATTCAATCGGACCTCGGACTGGACGCACAGGTGGACAGCATGGTGACAAAGGGAAGCAGACGCCTCTTCCTACTGTGCAGACTGAGACGGGCTGGTCTCCCATCAGTCGACCACACCACCGTATACTGCGGCTATGTTCGGCCGCCTGCCCAACCCCAATTTGGAACCGCTGGCCCAAATTTGGAACACCGCAATAACAACAGACAGACAGACTATAACGCGTCCAGAAACGGGGTCTGTGGGATTATGTTGGGCCGGAACTTGGGGAAGCCTTGCGATCTTTGGAACTACAATCTCTCTCTGATCGCAGACTCAAGCTTTGCTTGTTTCGCAAAGAAAGTTAGGCAGTCGTAGCCTGGGTACCATCCTACTTGTATGCCGGGGCTCCCACAGTCGCTTCCCTTCTTAGGGAAGCCAATTAAAGTCTTCTTAGGGAAGCGACTGTGGGAGCCCCGGCATACAAGTAGGATGGTACCCAGGCTAAGGCAGTCGCCCCACTTCTGTTGTTGGCTTCTTCCGACAAGGAGAGAATAGTACGGCCGGCAGCTGAGGAACTCGCTCCAGTACTCCCAGGCCAGAGGGACCAAAAGATTCACCACGAGTGCGAGGCCAATTCTGGCTAAACTCGTGCTCGGACTGTAAAACTGAACTGTTGACTCGAGAGTAGCCTACCCTTTGATGATTTTATACAAAAATGCTTAACCACGTTATATTACGTAACTTATATATTCACGTACTATGAAAGCGTACCGTGTTAGTTGTACTATATGTGTGATTGTAAACATCGGCGCAATTCAGTTTTTACTGCTAGGCCGATTATTTTTGTGCTTCATCAATAAGCCAACTACTACCACTTGATGAACATTTACTTAATTCCAATTCAGAGCACATAAGAGCTGCTTATTACAACTCTGAGTCTGAGCTTTACATACTTGCATGAATGATGCTCATAAACTGTAGCATGACTTTGAATCGCCTCTGGTTACCGTCGAAAAAAGGGACAAATCATCCTTACCTTGTCCTTAGCCTCGTTCTTTTGCTTCAACTGCATCTGGAGCACCTGATCCTTCAGGTAGGCTTGTAGTTCTTCCCGCAGATCTTCCTGTTGCTTCATGAACGCCATTTGCTGATCCCGCAGATCTGTCTGGAACGCCGTTTGCTGATCCCGTATATCCTGTATGTCTCTCATGAATGCCGCTTGTTGTTCCTGGATGAAGGTGATCTCCCGCACCATGAACAGCAGGGCGACGACACTCACCACAGCCGCGAGTCCTGACAGCGCCAGGACGATTCCATTGGTCCACCGGTTTCCATGGCGACCTACAGAACCGTCTGGAACTGCCTCGCCGTTTGGGGACAGATTCTTGGACGTCATCTTCGAGAAACCTTGCGGAATATGAAGCAAATGATAACATATTTTTGTCTCATCTTGTCTCATCTTATGCCTAGGCCCTGCACCGCGCCAATCGCGACACTCCAACCTAAATCCCTACAAGGCTCTACCATTCCACAAAGGCTGCTAGAGATATTCGCGCTTCCTCAGGCCATAACAGAAATCGCGCCTGACAACTTTAAGGAAGAAGTAATGGTGAAATAATGTGTCCGTTCTAGGACGAGCTTCCCCGCCTCTGGCGGGACCACGTCGGCATTCAGCCGAGATACGCTGGGAGGGGGGCACCAGCAAGCAGGTCGTTGACCCCTGACATTGATAACACGCCACCTTGCGTGTTTTCATCAAACAACAATGATTCGAATGTAGTTTCGTAGAATCGTGATCGGAAGCGGTTTGCAAGGAATGTATGGCACGTGGACCAGATGTGCGGAATGCGAGTTACCCGAATCGCGGTTTGGGTGACTTCACATTAACAAGGCTTAAATGTCTCCACTATAGTTTTGCCCAGACGAGTCGTTAGCTCAAACAGGTGGGACAAGTCAATATACGGTTTACATCTCAATTAAGGACCTGTAAGTACCTTAACATGTTGTCAATAAGAAAAATACCCTCAGAATCATGACAAAAACAATTCCTCAACACAATCAACCTGGTCAATGAGCCAGTAAATTAGAAAAGTCTTTGTTAGAAGAAACCTCTTGAATTGTTTTACGCAACACGTACATCAAAGCTACTCTTCAGTCACCAAAGCAACTCTTCAGTCACCTATCAACGGATTTGTACTCTCTTAGCGGCAACAAGAGCTGAATATATGTTGACAAAGAGCAGCGTTTTCAGCTACCAAAACAAATAAATGAAGACTGATGGACTCTATTGAAATGCATGTTGCTGAAAATCTCATTAGTGCGGTTACCTGGCGATGGCGCTAAACTTCAGGATGGCTTGTTCTTCGGCCGTGTGGAAACCTAATCATCACGCTAAAACTGCGGGCTTTAAAAAAAGGAACGGAGAACTAATTAGTCCACAGTGCGTGGACAATACCGAGAGTGCACAGGACTAAAGGCATCCAAAGCAGTTTTTAGGGCTTGGAAACACGATTTGACAAAGTCAATATTCTAGTCACTAATCAACATACTGAGTGGAAACCACATTATGCCAATGTATACTGACCCTCATCGAGAAAAAAATACCAAAAATTCTGACGGAAAATGTTTACCTACTAGTAGTCTAATTTCTAGGGTACCACCCAGAAAATAAAGGACTTATCTTGGGGCTTCTTTCTGCGGTTGCGGTTTGAAATACCTAACGTTGGAAATGTTGACTCAAATGTACTAATGTAAATCAGTATGTGTCAATTTCATAAAGATTGCCTTATTCAGAATATTTACAGCTTTGCTGAAATAGCACTGGGTGCCCTTGAAGTCGGGAACACGACATTTTCCATGCCAACTTAAAGTATAGTTAGATAATTATAATAGATAATTAGAGTTACGAAATGCCAAGTATGTACTACAATAGAAACAGGATTATTAAAGAAGGAACGACACACTATAAGTGCACTTTTCTAATCTTACAACTATCATTAACAGCTAAAAAGAACAGCATGTATCACGTACACTTAGCACAGTAAATTTAACGGCAGAAAAAGACTGAAAAACAAGGAAAGGTTTCCACTCACTGCTGTAGTAGTGCTTAGACGCGGCGTCAGCTCAAACACTACTGGTTTTCAAAATGTAATGCACGGCCGTGGGACATGTTTACATCTATATTAAAGACCAGTAAGTAACTTAACATGTTTTCAATGAGAAAAAAATGCCCAGGGAAACATAACAAAAACAATTCTATAACACAATCATCCTATAGTCAATGAGCCTGTTAATAAAAAAAACCTTTCGTTGAAAGAAATGTTTAATTTGTTTTACAAAACAGGTGCACCAAAGCATATCTACATAAAAAGTACTACGTTAATCCTGTACTTTTCCAAGGCCACACTTTAGTCACCTATCAACAGCATTTATACAATCTTAGCAGCGACAAGAGGCGAATAAATGTTGACAAAGCTTCACTTTTCAGCTACTATAACAAATGAAAGAGGACTAATGGACTCTATTGAAATGCATGTTGCTGAGAATCCATTAGTGCGGTAACCTTGTCGCCATTCCGGATCCGTTACATAATCTCACCACCAGGAATACCAACAGCACCAGAGTTCACCCACTATGCCTGCAAACATTCTACTGCAAAACAGACACATACCGCAGCAGCTACGTACCACGCACCATAACAGACTGGAACAAACTACCTACAGACATAGCCACATCCACATCCCTACCGAAGTTAAAAATGGGACTGGCCCGACACATGGGCCTTCCTTCAACATCCACACTTGGGATTCCGACCAGGTCAGCGAGAACCCCAAGTGTGGCGGTGATCATCACATCGCCGTGAACCAGCCGTCCATTTCCGTCTCATGTCAGGGGATGAGGGGTATTTCCGGGTAGGCCTTCGCTACATTCACCTTACTTCACTTTAGTTGTGACATCAAGTAATACATATATTTTAGGGGCTGGTCTATAAATCAGAGTATAAACTCCCGTGGAACTGCTGGCAAATATTTGTGACAATGACAGGAAAGCAGGATCATGGCCGGTGTCATGGGAAGCTTAAAAAAACATGGTTCCCAGCTTTCTGACATGTTTGCTCTGTTTTGATTTGATTTGATTTGATTTGTATAAGGAAATTTTCCTTTTTTTTCAAATCTAGCTTATGACTGCAATTGTGCAATTCCTTTTGGAATCAATGTTTTGACAAACAGGAAAGAAATAATTGCTCTAAGAACTTCCAAATAGCGGGGCTGTAGCTTCCTATCCTTCATTTCTTCAGTTGGATGGCGCATGCGAACTGGCGGCTGCCAGGATGGCTACAGAAGAGTCGGCCTGGCCTGTATCCGGCTCGGTACCGTCCTAAAGTCGTTTTGGGACGCGCAGCAGGCCTGTAATGCGGAAGGGGCGACCCTAGCCATGCCTAAAACGGAAGAACTGGACCTCGCTCTCAGACGCCTGGTCAGAAGATCTGGAGGCAACTCCGATCACAGGATCGGTCTGAGGTTCACATGTCCTCGCCTTTTCTTCGGGACCTGTTGGTTCGGAAAATGGGAATATAAATGGGTGGACGGGTTACCTCTTGGAAGGTACCAGGTGCGTGTTCTGTTGACAAAAACAAGTTTGTTTTAATATTCCAACATTAAGCACAAGCGTGCTTCAAGCAAGCTGACTGGAATGGCCTGAGGAAGTCAATTCATGTGCTGACTGACTCAATCCTAGCTACTCATGCAGACAAACCGGATGTCGAGGCTGTTTGGTCAGACCTGAAGACAGGCCTTCAAGAAAAAGTCCAGGAGTTCATCCCACATAAGAAAATCTCTGGCAAGAGGAATCAAGTATGGATTGACCATAAAACCCTGAAACTGATCAGAAGAAGAGATAGAATCCATAAGAAATACAAGAAAACTGGAAGACAAGATTTACATCAAGCATTTAAGTCACTTAAGCGACAAGTCCAGCGGCAGTTGAGACAACAATATTGGAAACATGTAGAGGGCCTGATCACGGAGGACTGCTTAGACCAGCCAAAACCTACTAAGAAGTTCTGGACTTTTATCAAGGCAAGGAGAAATGAAAACACAGGAGTATCACCACTGAAGGAAACAGGGAAACTTGTAACAGATGACAAAGAAAGAGCTGAAATCCTGAACAGACAATTCAAGTCAGCCTTCAGTACTGGAGAAGTATTCAGTGATGAGGACTTCAAGCTTAGATGCCCTATGCCACCGAGAGATCCAGAACAACCCATACTAGAAGACATCACCATCACAACTGCCGGTGTCGAGAAACTCTTACAAAATCTGGACCCCTCAAAGGCTAGCGGTCCTGACCAGATTAGTCCCCGTGTTCTGAGAGAGGTAGCCGTAGAGCTAGCACCGGCACTTGCCTTCCTGTATCAAGCCTCTCTTGACCAAGGGGTTGTCCCGGACGACTGGAAGCGCGCCCACGTGTGTCCTGTGTTCAAAAAGGGAGAGCGATACAAAGCAGAAAATTACCGGCCTATTTCCATCACCAGCTTACCCTGCAAGCTTCTGGAACACATCCTCGTAAGCAACATCATGTCGTACTGTGAGCAACACCAAGTCCTATGCACAGAACAACATGGTTTTCGTAAAGGCCGATCTTGCGAAACTCAACTCTTGGGTCTAGTTGACGAAGTTTCTGCAGCTTTGGAAAGTGGTAACCAAGAGGACCTGCTCGTTTTGGACTTTTCCAAAGCGTTTGATAAGGTTAGCCATAGCCTACTAGTGCATAAACTAAGACATTACGGCATTGATGGAAAGGTGAATGCCTGGATTCACGAGTTCCTGTCAAATAGAAAACAAGCTGTTATTGTCAACGGCGCCATGTCTACGTATGTTCCAGTGGAATCAGGTGTCCCTCAAGGGTCCGTTCTGGGTCCTTCCCTGTTCCTACTATTCATCAACGACCTGCCAGCTGGTCTAACCTCATCATCAAGACTGTTTGCTGACGACACAGCATGTCACAAACTTGTCAAAGTTGCCAGAGACCAAGATCATCTTCAGGATGACCTTGACAAGCTAGCGGAGTGGGAACAACGTTGGAATATGTGCTTCCATCCTCAGAAGTGTGTAACCCTACACATGACTCGTAGCAGAAAAACAAGGAAACGTGATTACCGGCTGCACGGTCACATACTCCAGGAGGAGCCCCAAGCAACATACCTTGGACTTACAATTACTAGAGACCTAAAGTGGGGACCACACATTGTAAATACCACTAACAAAGCTAACAGATGCCTTGGCTTTGTCCGGCGTAACATCAAGATTCAGAGCAAAACCATAAAGCAGGCAGCTTATAAAGCACTTGTCAGACCCATTTTAGAATATGGGTGTACTGTGTGGGACCCGTACACTGATAAGAACATCATCGCGGTGGAAAAAGTGCAGAGAAGAGCAGCTAGATGGGTCTGCTCCCGTTTCCGCCAAACATCAAGTGTGGGAGCCATGTTGCAAGACCTCCAGTGGCAAACACTCCAGGAGAGAAGGAGATGTGCCAGACTCACTACATTCTATAAACTACATCATGGTTGCATCACTGTTAATACAAAAAACTTACCTGTAATCCACCGATCAACACGCAAGACACGGCATACGCACCCACTGACTTACGTGAGTCCTGTATGCAGAACCCTATACAGGCAGATGTCTTTTTTCCCACGTACAATTTCTGAGTGGAACTCTCTACCAGCTGAGACAGCCACCGCCCCTACTCTGACATCCTTTAAGGATAAGGTGGCCCACAGACATTAGCACCTTTGTACCAGTCATCAAAATCCAACACCAAAACAACAGTTTGACCATCTGACTAACAAGAGCAGCAGATTCATCGACATGACGATGCTGGCTGCCAAAACCTAAGAAGAAGAAGAGCACAAAACATGGTGACGGTACACTCAAGTTTTTTTATGTTTATGGAAGGAAAACATTGTTTTTGCTCACTTTTCCTCTTTTCCAAACACGCAAGGTCAATGACCTGAACCAGACGTCTGTCACCATGGTGCTGTGTTACACTTTGTAGCTCCATTTGAAAATGCTGGTCACCAGATATTATATTATATGAATGGTTATGTATTAGAATCAACAGTTTGGTGGACTAGACCATTTGACGGTTTACAAAACATTATGCATTTGCTTTGCAATTGTTACTTTTCTAGCTAGTTAAACTTATTCCCCAACTAATGCAGAGGACAATACTCATTTTCGCCTGAGTTAAGTGAGGAAAGTCGTGTTAAGTGCCTTTCTCAAGGGCACAAGATCGGTGGCATGGCAGGATTCGAACAAGGGTTCCGAGCCGTATTCTGCCGTTACGACACACGATTAGTCTCCACCGTCTACCAGACAAGGGACTGTCAAAGGATCCCAGTAGGTTACTCATTTCCTTCAGATAGGTCTTGTCATCTTGACATTTGTACCTTACGTTGTTGACTGTTTTCCTTTTCTATCAGGGATGGCACCCAGGTGAGGCAAGTCATAGCAAAGTGCCCCGTGCACTGTGTGTTCTGTACTGGTACTCAGTACTTGCGGCTGACCCGATGTGGGACGACACAGCTGGATGCCATGGCAAAAAGCGGTACATCTGCCAATCCCCTCCTGTCTAATCACCTTCAGGCAAGAATCATGTTTTCAGTAGCCTTTGAGTGTGTTTATGCGTATGAAGCCTTTGTGTGTATGTTTGTGTTTGTGTGTGTGGTTTAGAACGATAAACTCAAGAAGCTATGAATGGATTGTCATGAAACTTTGTAGTTGGGTACCCATTTATATCCCCCTCATTTTGGTTAAAAAAAACATTTGTACAATTGAATTTAAATTAAAACCATTGGCAAAAACCAATAAATCACTATTTACCAATAGGATTTTGTGTGGAAAGACCGCAAAACTGAAAGTATTTTATTTGCCCTTTAAAGAATCATTCGACCATTAACAGAGTCATTTACAACAAAGACGAACTTGGATAGAACATTCAGTACCATTTATTCCATAGAAAAAATATAATGTTCACACATTCTCGTCCATCACATGTCAAATTGTAAAATATCCACTCTGTATCCTCTGTGGTATTCTTTCTCCGGTTATTTTGACAAAACACTGTTGAAAAACTAGACTAGACTGATATGCACGGTAGAACATTCAGTACCATTTATTCCATAGAAAAAATATAATGATCACACATTTTGCCTGTCACATATGTCAAATTACCACATATGCACTCTGCCTCTGTTGAGGTATTCTAATACGTACATACTGTGCAACAGTGCATTTTAAGTGCCTGGTATAACAATTTAGTTGCAAAAGTTATAAATATTGTGTTAGGCACTAGAGACGTGTAGGACAGTACAAATGGCATCATACACGTGTTATGCACGGAATATGCATATACAAAAATATTTTTTCTCAATGAGGCCAGCTCATTGCTTTTTCATAAAATCCACGTGACAAGATATGGTACACAAACACATACAAATTGTCATATCTTCATACACATTTTTAAATTCTGTATTGCACACAGCTCACATATAGAAAAGTTATTTATTAAATATTTCATCTCATTCCATTGTTACGGAAAAATGAGATGAAATACAACTAAAATTAAATTAGATTAAGTTAAAAATTACGTTCGTTATCATTTTCTACAAGAATATTTCTCCCTGATGCCCCTCCCCACGTTCCTCAAACAGACGCCTTCTTCCATCCCCCATCCTGGCTGACGCCATGGGTCTGCTTGGTGTGGCTGAGTCTTCAGGCTGGTCAGGGGAAATAAAAAAAATCAGCCATAAGGATCCTTGGTCACTTGTTAAGGCTTGATTTTTCAGTTACAAAAAGCACAATTACCAGTAAGAGAAAATTAGAATTCAGTCTATTTGGCTCTCAAGAATTCGTGAATGATGCACAAGTATCCATATAGATTTCATAAAAGAATTCAATTTCACCTCCAATTTTTCTGACAAACTTAAATGAAAACAAATATATACGAGACATGATACAGACCTTTCTAGATCGCTGCTTTTCAAAGTACTCATCGAGCATTGCCACTCTCCTGTGTGCAACATAGAGTAAACAGCGTTAGTAAACGCCCGAAGAACAATCAGCAATACATGTAATTGACAATTGTTCCATGGCTATAAAGTAGATTGTAGCCAGCCATTTTTATGAATTAAAATTCTAAAAGAACGGTGCTTCTGGAACAGAGTTCAATTCACGTACTTGTTCAAAAGGTTGTTCCTGGTAGTCAGGCCCTTCATTGAGCGCTTCAGTGTTTCATTTTCATATCTTAAGTTACCAATCGCGTTGCGAGTCTCTTCCAGTTTACTGAAACAACAAAAGATGAGGTCAATAAAAGCTGCCGAATATTACATTTCAAGGAATAAAAGCAATAGAAAGACATGCATATATAACTAGCACCTGGATATAACTAGCACCTGGATACATATACAATCATGTATATGCTAAACCCAATTATTACTTTAAAAAAGACAAACAAGTGCTAAAATGATATACTGCTGATAAACGTCTAAACGCTTTAATTTATTTATCTTATTTATTTGTTTACCTAGACAGCTTGCCATTCTCAGCGTGTAGCTTCTGCTGAATTGACTTATTGTTGAACTCAAGTTTTGCTAGCAGTTGTTCTTTATTCTGGACAATCCTGTGGAACCAAAAAAACTACGATTCAGCTCGAAAAAAGTAATATTAAGTTTGCTGAAACAATGCATTTAAAAATGGTAACATTGAATTCCATGTTTCCCGTGGTAAACCTATTATGATTGTAATCACTGTGAACAACATTATAAAGAAATACATTAAAAGAACGAGACCAATAAAATATAATCATGTACGTACATTGTATTTAATTTCCAATATAAAAGGATGGACAGTTGGATACAGATGGATATGCAGTTAAGCTATGCCTACGATTACCATATTGGACAAAACTACTAATAAACTTTAAAGAAGCATGTTGTACTTACTGTGCTTGTCTCTTGTTGTCCATGGTCAGGCGATGTACAGTTGCCTCTAGGGTTTCCTGTGCAGCTATATCGAGGTTTGCAAGCTCCCTATGTCAGCAAATACATGTAGATTTATAGTTGAATACAAAACAATATAGTTATCTTTTTATAAGCAACAGTCAAGGAGAAGATTTACATTTTATAGACAAAACCTCGAGAGCCTGTCAATAGATTAATTTGAAATAGCTGGACATTCGTCAGAGGTAAAAAGTAAGAGGAGCTCACTTCATGAGATTGCTGCATCGATCCGTCAGGAGGCCAACTGAAGACTGCAGTGCCTCGTTTTCTTCTTTCAACACATCAACCATGTTGCTTAAGGCCTTCTTGGACTCCAGTTCGCTGTAAAAAAATAAGCAAATAGAAGGGACAATAAACATCTCTTGAAATGCTAAGATTACCAAATAGCATTCTAAACCACCGCATTTTCTTAGAACATTGAGGTCAGAAGTATTCAGGTCACAAGCATTCTTACTTACTCTTCCATACTATGTAGTAGTGCCGCAGTAATATTTATCATTTGGACAAATTTGAATGACTGTTCATCTGTCATACAAGACCAACATTTGTGGTAATAGAGCTACATGTTACACTCACCCAGTGATCGTGCTGTTGCCCTTTGTCAGCTCCAGTGACTCAACCGAAGATGAGTCTTCTTGCAGCTTCTCCAGTGTCCTCGCAACTTTGGTGTATGCCTTTTTTGCGACATCCAGCTTTCTGCAACCACATAGTACATATGAATAATTGTATATTTTATAGTGACACTGTTGTAAGGCATTATGCAACTGTTAATAATAATTCTGTGAAAGTACATATATTCCGTGAAAATACATATACAAGATAGGTCCTTACTTTGCTTGTTTCTTGTTGACCAAAGTCAATTTCTTCACAGTTATCTCCAGAGTCTCTTTCTCCAAAACAACCTTCTTTGCCTCTGCCAGCTCACTGCGTCAAACAAACGCAGTTTAACTTATAAAGAACACAAACGTAACTTATGACTGGGTGTATAATACATGTAAATGCAAAAACATGGGCAAAGGCACTGTTCCTATTATTCAGAAAAATGATACGAGGAGTGTGTAAAACCTGGATAGGAAACATAATAGTATCATTTAATTACCTGGTGAGGTCGTTGTTCCTGTCTGAGAGAGAGCTGACTGACCGCTCCAGGGCGTCATTCTCCTTCCTAAGTGCATCAAGCTTGTTGCTGTAGGCACCTTGAAACACTTCCAGTTTCCTGTGATGTAATCAAAACATTAGCCCAGGAAAAACGCTATCAATATTTATATATATAGCATCATGACTTAAGTACAAGACTTGAAAGAAATCTTTTTATGAGTGAGATTCACGTGAACATGCTTCTCCTAAAACTTAAGTTCTTACCCCAGCTCTTCTCTAAGCATCTCACGTAGCTCGGTCTTGTTCTGTTTCACGTGATTTTCTCTGGTCAACTTGGACTCCTCGAGTGCTCTGTCATGACAAATATGAGAGTTAAACATGCTTCCTTGCTTATGATGAACAGCCAGTCATTGTTCAATTACATTACAAACTTTATAACATTACATACATAAAACAGGGAATCGTTTAAGAGTGTTCTACACATTGCAGCGAAAACATACCTTTTTAGCCTTGCATTTTCTTCTTGTTCATGCTGAATTTCAGCCTTGAGAGACTGCTTTACTTTTGCGAACCTTTCTGCTGCATTCTTTGTCTCTTTCAGTTCCCTTTAACGATAATAAAGAACGTTTAAGAATACATAAAAACATGATTTTTAAGAATCACAATTTGTCAAAATCAGAGTACAGAAAACATGAGAAACATACTTTGTCAGCCTAGAATTTTCTTCTTGTTCTTGTAGAACAGTTGCCTGAAGGGACTCCTTTGCTTCTCCCAGTCTCTCTGAAGCCTTCTTAGTCTCTTCCAGCTCCCTTTCAGAATAAAAGAAGACTTCAAAATATAGCCAAAAGAACCTTCAAAGAAGACATGGCTTTAGAAAATCCATCTTTGAGTCAAAACAAAGCAATTGGACGCAAAATTAAGTAGACGTTTACATGGCATTCATGAGGCCACACCAAGTAAATTTTATGGATGACGTCCTTTGGAGACCCTGAATCTAATGCGAGAGAGCGAAAAAAAACAATAAGGGCCCTAAAAAACAAGATGCCTAGATTAGAAATATACTAAGAGACGACAAATGTTAGGACACAAATTGAATGAGGTGACACAGTGTTACAAGCAAGAAGTCTTTTATTCATCATCAAAACAGCAATAAATCAGGTGGAACAGCAATTGTCGTCCTGTCCTGTTTTCGCGTTACGGGTTTTACGTCAATCTGACGATTTTTGGCACTGTCGTGACTCTTTGGTCATAGTTACAGGAAGCGGAATTTCTTGTTTTTTTTCTAGGAAGAGGCCAAAATCAATGCGCGCGCGGACGTCATCCATAAAATTTACTTGGTGTGGCCTAATATAACGTTATCCGCAAACTAGATAATCCAACGCAACATCTATTGCAAGAAATACATACCTTTCAAGTCTTGCATTTTCTTCTTGTTCATGTCGAACAGTCGCTTGCAAAGACTCCTTCACTTTCACAAATCCTTCGGACACCTTCTTTGTCTCTTCCAGTTCCCTACAAGGGAAAAACATGTACTTGTCGGTCAACTGGACAAAATATGGTTCAATGACAATGAGAATACTTGGCATCTATTTTAGGAAATAGTTCTATGCTAACATATTGCAAACTAATGCATACCTTTTCAGCCTTGCACTTTCCTTTTGTTCGTGTTCTACTGTGGCTTGAAGAGATTCCTTCACTTTTGCAAGTCCTTCTGATGCACTTTTTGTCTCTTCCAGCTCCCTAGAACAATAAGATAAATGGATTAAAGCCATAACATATCTGTATAATGTTTTTTAAATACTTTGCCATGGTTATAGAGTTATTGCGTTGAGAGGAAAATTGTTTCAAAAGAGGAAATTAGATTTTAAACGAGCTGTCCACTGTCGAGTTAGGTACGTCCTTTTTATAAGGACTAATTTACATACTGAGCTCTGTCAGCGAATACATACTTTTTCAGTTTTGCATTTTCGGCTTGTTCGTGTAGAACGTCAGCCTGAAGAGACTCCTTCATCTTTGCAAAGTCTTCTGCTGTGTTCTCTGCCTTTTCCAGTTCCCTGCAACACCCAACAAAACATTAATTCAAGTTAGTTAGTTTACAAAGATAAATGAAATATAAATATCCGTTCTTGTCAATTTTGTGTAAAAAAAATTGACCAAAATCTATATTTCAAAACATTTCATACCTTTTCAGTTTTGCGTTGTCACCTCGCTCGTGTTCAACAGAAGCCTCAAGTAACTCTTTCATTTCTGGAAATTTCTCAGATGTTTTCTTTGTTTCCTCCAGCTCCCTATGACAAGCATAGAAAAACCCATTGGTTAACATGATTGGTTTTTATCATGTACAATACATTTCTTATATGTATATCAAATAATGTCTTCTGAGAAGTAACCTTAGTAAGAAAATGGCGTTGCATACCTTTTCAGTTTCCCATTTTTCTCTTCTTCGTATCGAATGTCGGCCTCGAGACACCTCTGTGTCATCTTAAACTCTTCTGCTGCCTTCTTCATCTCTTCCAGTTCGCTACAAGTGTGAAAAATGTGAGAAAAAACATGTGATTAAAGTGAATGAAAAATCATTTATGTAAAGAACAATTGAGAGGTTATGATATAGTTTGTTATACCCCTAGGTAGTGCTTATAAGCTTTTAGGTGAATATCCCAGAGATTTTGACTATGTTATCATTGGATTTCTCACTATTTCAGACAATCTGGACCCCTTTCTGTTGGGTCAGACATTTCTAGTTTTGACTGACCTGCTTGCTTCTCGGAAGAGGGACCACATGTTCTTGCACCTGGTATTTGCACCCGCCAGTTTATCTTCCAACTGCAGGATTATGCTAAAACATAAAGGACACAGTATAAGTTGCTTGGAGAATTTCGGGTTTGGGGTAAATTGATTTGGATCTAATGTCACGATGACTTTTCATTAAGCACACATATTTTTAAGCACAGCAGTTGGAGATGCACATAATGAGAGCGAGCGACGGACAGAGAGAGATACGTCTGAAAAATACTTCACCTCCAAGTAACGGCTATACACAAGAGTGTAAAGGCATTTTTTTTTCTCTTGTCTAAACCTATTTCCAATACCCAAATATACATGCAACGTTAGATAAAAGCAGAGTAAATAGCTAGATCAGCAGAATAGATAAGTATTTCCTTACTCGTCACTTTCGTCAATGGAGCGTTCAAGCTTTGCCTTGAGCTCTTGTACTTCATGCCTCAGTGCAGTATTCAGCCTGTTGGTGATAGAGGTTTAACTTCCAGTGTAAATTTCCGGGAAAAGATTTAAAACTATTGAGTTAACAAAAAAAAAAAGATAATTGTGTGATGAGTGACTAGTGACTACTAATGCCCCACATTTTATGGAAGATTTTAAAAGGTTCAAAATCAATGCGTTGTGTTTCCTATTGTAATGAGACTTGCTATGAATGGCAAATTTTCTAGTGTACTTATAATTCTGTACCTTTGTTCTGAAAGTTGAGAATCTTAATTATGGAATCTAAGTAGCCATACTCTTCAAAAAGTACATATATAATGATAGTAATTTACAAAATGCTGTTATTGACTTACATTTCGAACTGCTGCCTTTTGCCTGGTGACGACTGTGCGCTGTACGAAATGTAGAAAATATGTGTAACATACAGTCATTAGGCAAGCTAGAATTCCTCAACTTTAGAAAACAAGAGATCCTTCTTCATAAAAAAGAGAGAGGTCCTTCTTCATAAAAAAAATTGCACCATCTACTTTTTTAATAATCAACTAACTGACAGAGTTGGTGGTTACATACCTTGCACTCACAGTGTCCATAGTTAAATCTAGATCGAACATACCATGATGTGATATCTGATTTCAAAGAAAAGGACTATTTCTAAAGACGAGTAAAAAAAAAACTGACCGATCAAGCCTATTGTTTTTAGCGGTCAGCTCAGAGTTCAACTTCTCAAGTCGTTTGATCTCTCGCACATGAATGTCGATATGCCTGCAAAACAAAACAAAAGTTTGGGTTTTCTTTCATCTATGATTTACAAACACCTGATTCAAGTGACAATGTTTTTAAATCCCCATTTTTATCATGATTTACCTACCCTTTGAAAAGTTATCATTAAAAAATATACCCGTGCAATGAATTGCAAAATTTAACTTATTGTAGAAATATAAATGGTTTGAAATATACTACAAGCTGCCTATATAGCATAAGATCTTCGGTCTACTTACAAGGTCTTCACTTCAATTTCATCTTTTGCCAAGGTTAGTTGCTTCTTCAACTCTTTTGCATCACATTCCTCTTCATCAGAACTTGAACTGTAAAAGCAAAAAATTACATTTGTCAGTTCATTCAATACATCAATTCGGTGCTATCATCTTGATCTTACATACCTGGTTTCATGGAGATCTTATTGCAAAAAATTATGGCCAAGATAAGTTCCACTATCTCTCGTGAAGGAGGCCCGATCAGCCCCTGACAGCGAGAAATAGTGTAACAAAGACTCTTTGAGAGATCCAAGCATGGAAAGTGTTACCTTATTACGTATGATGTCAGGCGTGGGAATGGCCACGTGTCTCCAGGGTTTTCCCTCTCCTGTCTCTCTTCTCTCTGTCCCTCCTCCTCCTTCTCTTTCTCTCCCTCCTCTTCCTCTCCTTCTGACTTCTCTCCTTCCACCTCTCCCTCCTCTTTCTCTCCTTCCTCTTTCTCTCCTCCCTTCTTCTCTCCCTCCTCATTCACCTCCTGAGCTACCGCCCCATCTTCTAGCTCATTGCACCTCCTCTCCATTTCCTCAAAATCGTCATCACTGTCCCACTCCAGAGAGCTGAAACAAATTTTGATTCCAAGGTTTGGTTTAGTTTTTTTTTTCTGATTTTCTCCATTAGTAAATACAATCACTAGTCTTCCTGAAGTCCATTTAAAACACAATGTAACACAAAATATAACAACAGAATGTAATAAAATTATACAACAGAATGAACATAAGACTTACATAAATGAGCTTTAGAAAAATTGAACCTACAAACTAAACGATTATTTGTGGCTATGATACATTAGCATTGGCAATTGAATATGTAAATGAAAACGCCTTACCTTGACTCATCTTCCGGCTCTTCTTGGATTGGGGGCAGTCTAAAAGAAAATATCATTGTGAGCCAAGTGTAGGGTAATTTCTCTTATTCAACACGACACCACCCTTTTCTCACATACAAGCATTATTTACAATACTAAATCAAAATGTCAGACTGTCTTTATATCTTACCTAGGTTGCCATAAGGCCTCCTCCTCATCACTGCTGTAGTTTTCAAAGTCGCTGCAATAATAAAATAAAAGATTTTTTGTTTGTGATACATTTTAATTAGCAATACAACACTCACAGTAGACATGTACACTATAGAACAGTGCATGGGATTGATAATTAGTCCCCCAAATGTCAAATTGCTAACGAAACTATTAAAATTTCCAAATGAGTTCTGAGAAATCATTGACATATTTAGACAAGAAACATATCTGGTGTGCAGTCCTCACAGAACAGTTAACGGACTCGAGATATTTCATCTCCGTAAGTACGCAAACAAGTGTTTGTATGAAAATGACTGTACGACTTTAGAACAGGCCTAAGTTTGGCGATAGAAACGCCCGCGAAAATCACTTTTTTACAGCCTAAAACATTTTAAAAAAGGCTAAATCACATCACTGACACTTTGATTGTGACTACAAACACAACTCAGTTGTTTCTCCGGAAAGTTGAACACAAGAAAAGGCCATTCACCTTTGAAATGACCGTAAATACGCAAAACAATGACTGTGCGACTTTAGAACAGTCTCCTAAGTTTGCCTATAGAAACGCCCGTTAAAATCACCTTTTTTACGGCCTATAACAGTTAGAAAAGGCTAAATCAGACCACTGAAACTTTGATTGTGACTACAAAACACAACTCAGTTGTTTCTCCGGAATGTTGAACACAACAAAAGACCAGTAATCACCTTTGAAAGGACGCCATGGCGTTATCGTGACCTGTGCTGTAAGGCAGCTGAGATCGAGATGACTTTGTTGTCATGTGGTCACCTTGGCAACGGTATGATTGTGTGTCATATTCGAACGCGAGGAGGAATGATCGCAGTTTGTTTCTGGTCATCTGGACCGACAATTACATTTTTGTACAGATTTGTTTGGGAACAAGACAAGAAATATTACTTGATTTTATCATATTCAAAACAGAAATCCACTGAACAACCAAGATAGGCGACATCTATCCTCACCATTAACTCATAAATTGATAAAAGCACTTTAAAAATGTTTCGAAGCGTGTTGTCATTCCTCCCGCTAAGCTACGACGAGGGAGTGTAGATGACCCAGTGTAGATCTGCGACCAAACACCTTGATTTAGACCATTTCAACAACAAATAAGAATTTATATCCTGTTCAAAATATACATAACAATAACTTTGCTGACAGATATCGCCGAGACTTCTCAAGAATATATCGTCAATTTTCCGCACTAGATCGTACAATATCGGTTGTATAAAAAGTTGCAGCTGAACATACCGCTACAATATTTGGTGTTGTGTTTCCCTCCCAACCCCAAGTTCCGACACTAAGTGTAGCAGCAAAACCTTCAACAACTAACAGGGCCATTTCAGTTCAATTGTCTAAGTGTCGGATTGTTAAAAGATCAAAAACCTAATATGGATGGAGAACTCTTTGACTGTAGAGAACAAACTCGCTTCGGTTATTGACTGACAGTCATTGTACAATGTGACAAGTTCTCACTTACCTTGCTTTGGACAAGCTCAACAGACAGTGACAAACGTGATTTTTTGTATTGACGCAAACAACCTCAAGACATACTGCGAGGAAACGTGACGACTAAATTAAGACTAAATTTGGGGAACTATTTTGTCAGAAATTCAGCAACGTTGTGAACACAGTTGTCAGTTTTATATAGCTTTCTTCATGAAAAAAAAAAACATCCAAGCAAACGGAGACACGTGAAAGGACGGTTATTCAAGACCAATCTGAGCTTTCAACTTTCTAGCAGTTCGCAGTGCAGAATTGGGTCAAAGATTTGTAACAAGATACAGCAAAAATCACTAAACGTACATAAAAAAAAACAGCATAAATTCACTTGCACAACTGACATACTTGTTAAACTTTCCAACTAATTTACCACCAAGAAAATTGTTCTCGGTTATCAGGCGTTACGTTCGCTCTTGTTTTTTTTTTGTTTGTTTTTTTTGTATGTATTTTATAGTTATAGAAGACCTTACGAAAGTCGCTGCATTTTTGTTGTGTCAATAACAATCGTTCTGTGTTGTTTCAGAACATTCTTCGTACGCCGTGGTCTGAAACCCCTCCTAAAATTTCATTTCTTAACAACGGGAGTGACATAAAACACAAAACCCCACTCCACAAACATGTACTAAAACTGACAACACAACTCAGTTGTTTTCTGGGCGGATGTGACTGAACAAAAGACCACTAATTACCTTTGAAAGGACGCCATGGCGTGAATAGATCCGTGCTGTAAGGCAGCTGAGATCGATATGGGTCTGTTGGCATATGGGTTACCGTAGCAACGGTTTGATTGTGAGTCATATTCGAACGCGCGGGAGGAATGACCCTACTCGTCTGTAGCGATTTTTTTCTACATTTGACGTTTTGTACTTACCGTTTGAAAATTACAAACAGAAACATTACAAATTATTGAGTGCTTTAATTTCAAAATGCACAGAGTAGCACCTTTAGCTATGATAGTTTTACTTTTGGTCAAAGAATCAAATTGAGGTGTTTTGAAGACCGTTAACATTCCTCCCATTTATGAAATGTACGCCTTGCTTGCTTGATTCTGTGTAACGTTCCAGAATGTAGCACATTTTGTGACAGAGACTGTTATCATTATAACTCGGGTACCTGTCAAAATGTGTCAGATTTTGGAATTTAGGACCTTTTGGTTGACAATGCCTAAGTTGCATCCCCCTCTTCCCCCAAACAAATTAGGCCATGCAGATTTGATTATATGGATGACATCCTCCGGGAGCCCCAAAACTGATGCGCGCGTGCGAATAAAAAAAAAAGTTTTGCATTATGAAATCTACGCGGTCATGAGGGTTGAACAAATGGGACAGAATATGGTTTGGCGATTAATCTAATCTTCAAGTTCATTTCCTTACAATTTCGTCTTTTTTTCGTTTGATTTTGGCATTCTACGACATTGGTATATTTTTTGCTTATTTTTTTGTAACTTACGGTATATTTTTGCTCATTTTGCAACTGTTTTGTACGATTTACAGTATGGTTGACAACTTTTTTTTGGAAACGGCCGAAAATTCATGCGCCCGCGGATGTCATCCATATAATCAAATCAACATGGCCTAAATAAAAGCAAACACAACACGAACCACGTTGTAAAGAATGATTGTACTGAAATAAAAGACACTCTCAAAATATCAAAGGCCTATCAAACCTCAAAGATGACTCAGATCAACATGGCCTCCGAAATCCCAGGCACTTTATAAGTCTCTTTGGGGTCTTATCGTCAGTTCTTATTGCAAACTTTCCTCGTCAGATAAGTTAGTCAACCCTGCGTTATATTTTATCATTCGTAATCGTAACGTTATTCAATGTCTCTGTCACTGACAGAAACAAATCCTACTTGTGACTGTAGGATGTGAAGTACGGTCCAACACACCTTCTAAAAGCTCAATAATTTAGCTTCATATTTAACATACCAAATACAGCAATCTAGAATAAACCACTTGCTCACCACATGTCAGGTAGCCTAGGCCTGCATAACAGTTATATAATATTTGGCGGCCGCCATGTCAATAAGTCCAGTCATTGTATTTGTTTGGCATCTATGTGTGCGTGCCTACCTTCCTCGTCTGCACGAATACCTTCCACGTCTGCACGAATACCTTCCACATCTGCGCAAATACCTTCCACGTCTGCGCGAATACCTTCCTCGTCTACACAGAAAAAAACTTCCTCGTCTGCACGAATACCTTCCACGTCTGCACGAATACCTTCCACGTGTGCACGAATACCTTCCACGTCTGCCCGAATACCTTCCACGTCTGCACGAATACCTTCCACGTCTGCGCAAATACCTTCCACGTCTGCGCAAATACCTTCCACGTCTGCGCGAATACCTTCCTCGTCTGCACAGAAAAAACTTCCTCGTCTGCCCGAATACCTTCCACGTGTGCACGAATACCTTCCACGTCTGCCCGAATACCTTCCACGTCTGCACGAATACCTTCCTCGTCTGCGCGAATACCTTCCTTGTCTGCACGAATGCCTTCCTCGTCTGCACAGAAAAAACTTCCTCGTCTGCGCGGAAAGAAACTGCCACGTCTACACGGAAGAATATGTGCCGCACCCTGCCTTGTTGAAGAATGGACGGTCCCCTATTATAGGTCAAGGGTCACACCATGCACCACCTAAAAACAATTTGATTCCCGTCTTTTTCTGGGGGTTTGTCCGTGTCTGTCCCGTAAAAGATGGATGATCGATGATCTACTAGAAGTTAGATTATGGTGCTAAGGAAATAGGTGGGACATCGCAAGCTCAGAAAGGCCACAGAACGTAGTATCAATGGGCGACCCCGTGAACCCCGTAGTCAAAAGTAGTTCGGGCACAAAGTAGTGCGTCACAATACTAGTACTTGAGAAATCTGCCGAGAGAGAAAGCTGCAGTGATTCTTCCATGCACGACAGCGAAAAGGAACTGTGCAGCCTTGTAGAGGAATGTATCAGATTTAAGACCGTAAAAGATGAACTATTATGTTTCTTCCTATTACCACCTAGTGCTGTGTGTCAGCTGCAGTTCGCATGGTCCCCGCTGTAGGCATTGTCTTTTTTTTCCATTCTCCAATTGGCATAACTTTTCCGTCGACCGACAAGCATTATTTTGCCGGCTAGTCATCTTTATTGACCGAAAAGACGAACTTTTCCCTTACCCTTTTCATTGAAAAAGCTTTTCTTGACACTTTTTCCTTTCAAGACGCTCACTACAAGTGGGCCACGAAAAGACCCTCTAACGCCTACGGCCATATCACGTTGAGTACACCCGATCTCGTTCGATCTCGGAAGTTAAGCAACGTAGAGTCCGGTCAGTACTTGGATGGGAGACCGCCTGGGAACACCGGATGCTGTAGGCATGTCTTTTTTTCCATTCTCCAATTGGCATAACTTTTCCGTCGACCGACAAGCATTATTTTGCCGGCTAGTCATCTTTATTGACCGAAAAGACGAACTTTTCCCTTACCCTTTTCATTGAAAAAGCTTTTCTTGACACTTTTTCCTTTCAAGACGCTCACTACAAGTGGGCCACGAAAAGACCCTCTAACGCCTACGGCCATATCACGTTGAGTACACCCGATCTCGTTCGATCTCGGAAGTTAAGCAACGTAGAGTCCGGTCAGTACTTGGATGGGAGACCGCCTGGGAACACCGGATGCTGTAGGCATTGTCTTTTTTTTCCATTCTCCAATTGGCATAACTTTTCCGTCGACCGACAAGCATTATTTTGCCGGCTAGTCATCTTTATTGACCGAAAAGACGAACTTTTCCCTTACCCTTTTCATTGAAAAAGCTTTTCTTGACACTTTTTCCTTTCAAGACGCTCACTACAAGTGGGCCACGAAAAGACCCTCTAACGCCTACGGCCATATCACGTTGAGTACACCCGATCTCGTTCGATCTCGGAAGTTAAGCAACGTAGAGTCCGGTCAGTACTTGGATGGGAGACCGCCTGGGAACACCGGATGCTGTAGGCATTGTCTTTTTTTTCCATTCTCCAATTGGCATAACTTTTCCGTCGACCGACAAGCATTATTTTGCCGGCTAGTCATCTTTATTGACCGAAAAGACGAACTTTTCCCTTACCCTTTTCATTGAAAAAGCTTTTCTTGACACTTTTTCCTTTCAAGACGCTCACTACAAGTGGGCCACGAAAAGACCCTCTAACGCCTACGGCCATATCACGTTGAGTACACCCGATCTCGTTCGATCTCGGAAGTTAAGCAACGTAGAGTCCGGTCAGTACTTGGATGGGAGACCGCCTGGGAACACCGGATGCTGTAGGCATTGTCTTTTTTTTCCATTCTCCAATTGGCATAACTTTTCCGTCGACCGACAAGCATTATTTTGCCGGCTAGTCATCTTTATTGACCGAAAAGACGAACTTTTCCCTTACCCTTTTCATTGAAAAAGCTTTTCTTGACACTTTTTCCTTTCAAGACGCTCACTACAAGTGGGCCACGAAAAGACCCTCTAACGCCTACGGCCATATCACGTTGAGTACACCCGATCTCGTTCGATCTCGGAAGTTAAGCAACGTAGAGTCCGGTCAGTACTTGGATGGGAGACCGCCTGGGAACACCGGATGCTGTAGGCATTGTCTTTTTTTTCCATTCTCCAATTGGCATAACTTTTCCGTCGACCGACAAGCATTATTTTGCCGGCTAGTCATCTTTATTGACCGAAAAGACGAACTTTTCCCTTACCCTTTTCATTGAAAAAGCTTTTCTTGACACTTTTTCCTTTCAAGACGCTCACTACAAGTGGGCCACGAAAAGACCCTCTAACGCCTACGGCCATATCACGTTGAGTACACCCGATCTCGTTCGATCTCGGAAGTTAAGCAACGTAGAGTCCGGTCAGTACTTGGATGGGAGACCGCCTGGGAACACCGGATGCTGTAGGCATTGTCTTTTTTTTCCATTCTCCAATTGGCATAACTTTTCCGTCGACCGACAAGCATTATTTTGCCGGCTAGTCATCTTTATTGACCGAAAAGACGAACTTTTCCCTTACCCTTTTCATTGAAAAAGCTTTTCTTGACACTTTTTCCTTTCAAGACGCTCACTACAAGTGGGCCACGAAAAGACCCTCTAACGCCTACGGCCATATCACGTTGAGTACACCCGATCTCGTTCGATCTCGGAAGTTAAGCAACGTAGAGTCCGGTCAGTACTTGGATGGGAGACCGCCTGGGAACACCGGATGCTGTAGGCATTGTCTTTTTTTTCCATTCTCCAATTGGCATAACTTTTCCGTCGACCGACAAGCATTATTTTGCCGGCTAGTCATCTTTATTGACCGAAAAGACGAACTTTTCCCTTACCCTTTTCATTGAAAAAGCTTTTCTTGACACTTTTTCCTTTCAAGACGCTCACTACAAGTGGGCCACGAAAAGACCCTCTAACGCCTACGGCCATATCACGTTGAGTACACCCGATCTCGTTCGATCTCGGAAGTTAAGCAACGTAGAGTCCGGTCAGTACTTGGATGGGAGACCGCCTGGGAACACCGGATGCTGTAGGCATTGTCTTTTTTTTCCATTCTCCAATTGGCATAACTTTTCCGTCGACCGACAAGCATTATTTTGCCGGCTAGTCATCTTTATTGACCGAAAAGACGAACTTTTCCCTTACCCTTTTCATTGAAAAAGCTTTTCTTGACACTTTTTCCTTTCAAGACGCTCACTACAAGTGGGCCACGAAAAGACCCTCTAACGCCTACGGCCATATCACGTTGAGTACACCCGATCTCGTTCGATCTCGGAAGTTAAGCAACGTAGAGTCCGGTCAGTACTTGGATGGGAGACCGCCTGGGAACACCGGATGCTGTAGGCATTGTCTTTTTTTTCCAT